ACCCCCACCACACACACATACATATTTTGGTTTCTAGGAATAGCTGTTCTGGGACACAGCCCTGATAAGAATCCCAAGAATGGTGAGTTTTGGCATTGAGTTTAGCAGCAGGCACACCATATATCTTCTCTGTCAGCTTTTTGCTGTGATGTTGACAAACTGGGTGTAAACACAGTTAGGAAACTGTTGGCAGCCTTGGAATTGGCAGCTTTCTATAAGTGAGGCTTTATAAAAATCATTACTTGGTTTACTAAAACCAAATGATGCCCATTGTCCCCTCTGCATCTTTACATTCTATGACTTCTGGTACCAAAAAAGGCAACCAGAAACTTAAACAAGGGAATTGTTGGCCAAAGGATATAAAATTCCAGCTGGACTGGAGGAATAAGTTCAACAGATTTAGTGTACATCATTGTAATTATTATCACAATATACTTGAAAATTGCTGAAAGTAGATTTTAAGTGTTCTCACTATAAAAAAAAATAGCATGCAAGGTAATGCAGATGTTAAATAGATTGATTTAGCCATTCCACAATGTATCCATATATCAAAGCATCACATTGTACACCATACATATATATGATTTTTTATTTAACAAAAACAATACAAAAATGCAAAACACGGTATCAGGAAGGTTATTCACATTCTGAGTTACTAGGAATGTTACTTAGATACATTTTGAATTTTTCATCCTTAAGACAATTGCAAACCACCACAACAAAAATCTTTGTGGACAGGTTGATACCACCACTAGTCTCAAACGATTGCCTTTTTAGCTCCATTTGTCTCCCAATATAGACAAAGTTACTTTCTGTGTTTCATTTTTTCACCCTTTAATTCTCAACTGAGCCCTCCTTCTCTGACTCATAAAAAGGACAGAAGACTGTGAAATAACACTACGCAACAACTTCTCAGAGAAGCACTTAGTGACCATAAGGCATAGCCAGCAAGTAGGATAGCACGTAAAAAGTTGGCCTTTACTTAGAACTGATTTGAAGACGATGTATTTAAAACCACACAGTTTGTTAGCATTTCAGAGGGATAACTTTTTACTATGACTGAGTCATAAGACTGAGTCTAAGTAGAGCATAGTGTTTCCTGAGCCTTTTAGTGCCTGTGCTGAAGTCTAAGCCTGCTTTCCATTCTGCATCTTCATGTTTAATGTGATTTTCTGTGGTCATACTGGCTATTCTTTCAGAAACAGTACCAGGAAAAAAAATTAAACTTCCCAAGGAAGATAGATTCTGTGTATGTAGAAGCATGTTCCAATCCACTTTTTATATTTTTTATTTTTATTTTTTCATTTTAAACAAGTTTATTTAAACAACAAGACGCTTGACTTGAAGGGAAAACTATCTAGGGTTCTTTTTTGTTTTAGAGTAATTTATCCCTACTTAAACTCAGATTGCCCTACATGTAACAGCTACGTACAAAAAAGTTATAAAATTGTCCTTGGTTTTACAATGATAAATGAAAAACATTAAAATTCTCCAATTGAACAAGTTATGCAAGGATTTTTATGTTGTGTGTTTTTGTTAAAACAGTGAGAGCAAAATAACTTACTGGAATATAAAGATAAGAGCTGAATGAGCATGCCACTAATGGAGAAAGGGGGTATTTTCACAGAATCAGTATTTTTCCCCATCCCGTCTCCACTTGATGTCAATTAAAACATACCATTGGCCGTTTAGTTAAAAAAAAAAAAAAAAAATGCAATATGCTTGTGCACATATACCAGTTACTTTATGTACAATAAAGGAATGGGGAAGGGGGAAATGAAAGAATAGAGAAAACTATACGGTAGTAGTCAGGATGTGGTGGAACCAAATTGCAGTTTTCTAATGGAGAATGTAATCTTGGTCTTTAAAGAACAGAGTTCTGGAGTAAAGAAGCAGGTTCCCTTTTCAGTAGACACCTCCCGTCTGCTGTTGGAACACATCAATTGTATCTTCATCCTCCAGTTCCAACTGTGCAGGTGTGTCTGTTTCATTGATTGGTTGCTCATCGAATCGGAATCTGATCTGCCTCATTGACAATCCCTGTCGTTCACAATAGGCTTTCATTAGTTTACTAAGTGGTGTATGCCTCTTAATCTTACACTGCACCACAGAACCATCCTGCCCCGCCACCTTCAAATGAATATGATCGTTGTTCTCAGTCTTGACTCCTTCCTTGGGCTTTTCGTCGGCGTTGGCGAGCGCCTGAGTCTCCTCAGCTGCCGCTTCACAAAAGAGGTAACAGGTCCACACCAAACAAGCACACAAGCAGCACCAGGAGCCCCAATCCACTTTTTAAATTGCAAAATCTGCCCTTTTAACTTGTTCAATTCCACGGGTTTTTTCAAATGTACACAGTGCTGTTAACTCTGCTACAATCATGATGGGAAATATTTCCATCATCCCAGAAAATTCTCACATGCCGCTTTGTAATCAGTTGTCTCCTTCCACCCATGGAACTCTGGCAACCACTGATTTTTTCCCCTTTCCTAGCATTTCATATAGGCAAAATTATAGACTACGTAATATTTTGTTACTGGATTATTTTATGATTCTTTATACGATGTTTTTGAGTTTCAATCATGATGTGAATATAAAGAGTTTGTTCCCTTTTATTGCTGAATTGCATTCTGTAGTATATGTAATCCAAAATTTGTCTCTTCTGAAGTTGGTCAACATGTGGATTGTTTCTAGTTTTTTGTTATTATGAGTAAAACTGCTATCTGTAAACATTCGTTCACAAATCTTGGTGTGCACATATCCTCTTATTTCCCTTGTAATGCTTAGGCGTGAAATTTCTAGATAGATTGGTAAGTGTGTTTAATTTTGTTTTCACACTAGTTCTGCATAGTTGTCAACACTTAGAATTTTCAATCTTATTTTGGCTATTGTAATGAATATATAGTGACATTTTATTGATGTTTGAATTTTTATTTTTCTAATGACAGATTATGCTAAGCATCTTTTCATATGCTTATTTTCCGTCTGTATCATTTAGTAAAATGTCTATTTAAATTTCTTTTTTTCTTTTTTGTGTTTCTTCTTTGTCTTTTTATACTTTAAGTTCTAGGGTACATATACACAACGTGCAGATTTGTTACATATGTATACATGTGTCATGTTGGTTTGCTGCACCCAATAACTCGTCATTTACATTAGGTGTATCTCCTAATGCTATCCCTCCCCTCTCCCCCCATCCCACAACAGGCCCCAGTGTCTGATGTTCCCCATCCTGTGTCCACGTGTTCTTATTGTTCAATTCCCACCTGTGAGTGAGAACATGCGGTGTTTGGTTTTCTGTCCTTGCGATTGTTTGCTCAGAATGATGGTTTCCAGCTTCATCCATGTCCCTGCAAAGGACATGAACTCACCCTTTTCTATGGCTGCATAGTATTTCATGGTGTATATGTGCCACATTTTCTTAATCCAGTCTATCATTGATGGACATTTGAGTTGGTGCCAAGTCTTTGCTATTGTGAATACTGCCACAATAAACATAAGTGTGCATGTGTCTTTATAGCAGCATAATTTATAATCTTTTGGGTATATCCCCAGTAATGGGATGGCTGGGTCAAATAGTATTTCCAGTTCTAGATCCTTGAGGAATCACCACACTGTCTTCCACAGTGGTTGAACTAGTTTACAGTCCCACCAACAGTGTAAAAGTGTTCCTATTTCTCCACATCCTCTCCAGCACCTGTTGTTTCCTGACTTTTTAATG